ACAAGGGAAGTTGTCAATTTAAGTGTTGAGTCAAGTTGATCAGTGTTTTTACATTTTTGTTTCTTCAGTCCTTGATTTATGTTTAAGTTCACATTTTCTTACTAGGTTTGGAGTGAGTCAACGCCCACTGTATATTAACTTGATTCGAAAGCCACTGGATAGACTGGTGTCATACTACTATTTTCTTCGTCATGGAGACAATTTTAGACCACATCTAATTAGAAGAAAACATGGTGACAAGATGGTATGAGTTGTCAACCACATATTATGTTTATTTTGTAGTGCCAATAAAGTTGTATTTTTACTCCATTAATTTAATATTTTGAAGTGAAAGTACAGCTGTGTGCACAGACAATCTTTTTATGGCTTTTCTTATTTGTATGCTATATGTGATGTTAATTGGTTAGAAATGTAATGTGTGGCTTGTAGAAATATTGTTAGAAATTTATCAATATTTTCAGTGAGTTAACAACAATAAAAGGGCGGTGATGATACTTCTTTAATATCAATGTGTTGCTTCCACAGTCATATAATAAATAATCAATAAGGATTGCAGTTATGTTTAAACTCCCAACAAGTCTATATTGCTGCATTTCTATACTGATTGAAATTGATCAAAGTAAAAACACATAGGTTTTCCCTCCCTTCAGGGTATATATCAGGTCAAAAATAAAACTTTGAGATCCAGATCAGGCTGATATGTATGGAATTTCAAAGTTTTTAAAAGGTTGAAAAACACTGCTGTAAACAGTCATGCATATAGCATCTTATGTAATGCTGCAGTTTCTGAACTTGTACCATATTAAAACTTCACCACCACTGATCATGCGTCTCTCACCTTTGTGAATGTTATATGATTTTAAAATGTTAGAAAACATTCATTTTAAAACTGATGTTTACTTTTTTAACCATGTTTGTGCTCTGAACATGATATGTTTCTTCTTATACAGACATTCGATGAATGTGTGAAGTTACATCAAGCTGACTGTGATCCAGAAAATATGTGGCTGCAGATACCATTCTTTTGTGGCCATGCTGCTGAGTGCTGGTATGTGTATTACCTTGTAATTTTGTAACTTTTATTGCACCACTTCTGCAGCTAGGTCATATGCTTGTAATAAAAGGAATTTGAAATATTATATATCAACATCCAAATGTAGGAGCTTATCAATACTTCATTTATATATCAAAATACAGTGGAAATGGAGTTAAAGATTGTTACAGCCATTTTGTATGATAATGAATGATTCTGTTTGTAGGATTCCTGGAAATGAGTGGGCACTTGCAGAAGCAAAGAAGAATCTTATTGATCACTACTTTCTGGTAGGCGTTACTGAAGAACTTGACGACTTTATCAAGTTACTTGAAGTGGCATTACCCAGTTTCTTTCATGGAGCATCATCACATTATGAAACAAGTTAGTAGATTACTGTTCTGTAGCATATGAAATTATAAAAGGTGTATCATAAGCGTTTGTGACTTATTTCTCTCTCTTTCTGTTTCATTGTGAGTGTGTGTGTTGTGTAACAAACTAGATTTTGCGAATTGGTAGATTCGAGAGAACAGTAAGTTTACAGCTTGTTCAGTTGTAAACGTTTGAGTTATTTTAAAAATCAAAGAAGACATTAATTTTACTACAAATTTAGAACTCTCTGGGCATCCATCCAAGAGCAAAATGTATGCAGATGTTGCATGAATTAGCCATTTTATCATCCATGATATGGCAGAAGAAGTGGGACTTTGTACAAAATACTGCAGTGCATTTTAATACACAATTTTGAATTGGCTTCCTTTATTAGATTTTATCTTTACTTTAATTACTGTTCAGCATTATGTGTAATTCATTTCAGGTAATAGGTCACATTTACGTCGTACATCACAGAAAGTAGATCCTTTGCCAGAAACTGTTGCTGAGATCCAAAAGTCTCATATCTGGAAAATGGAAAATGAACTATATGAATATGCCCTGGAGCAGTTTCATTATGCCAAGAAGCGAGCTGTAACAATCAAGGATGGAGGCATGACTGACAAGAATCAGCAATTTATGTATGAGAAAATACGACCAAAGTAAAAATAGTAATGATTAACGATCTTAATGCACATATATGAACTTAAAAAAAATAGAATAACTTAATGTACGGGGAGTGCCATTAATGTTTGAAATGGGTTTTCAAATATAGGTCCTAATTCTATGGATGTTAAGCACTTCAAAAAGCAAAGTGCCGCTATATAATTTTGGTGCTTGGCTAGAAAACAGTAATAATTTTTTTGACAACTTGGTGATTAGAACAGACTGTAATATAATTGGAAATGTAGAATATATTAGTCCTGTTTTCCAATAAAACAAGGAACTCAATGAGATTTGAAGTTCTCACAGTGGTGAGTATGAAGATGGCTGTCCTATGGATTGTTGCATGTAGTCTGGTAGAAGTTTACTGATGTTTCAGAGGTACTTGCTGTAACAACCCAGAAGACAGCAATCTTCAAACATGGAATTTGTAAGTATACTTGGTGAGTTCCAGAAGTGTTGTTCCATCACTATTTGCAGTAGAAACACAATTATTCATCACAAGCATCTAATTTGGAGGTTCTGTATGGCATAGCTAAGCACAGATTGATCTTCGTTGCTGAAGGCGCTACAGTGACTAACTCAGGGTGTGTCTGTACTAAGGTTGGTTTGTATTTTTCTTGTTATTTAATATTCCGTCTTCTGTTACTACATTATTTTGTAGTAATATCAGGTAAGGGATTGATGTTGAGGCATGAGTTGGATCGTACAGGTAGCCCTTTATTTGCGCTGATTCAGAATAATGCCGATTTTGAAACCAGCAAGTCAGAAAGTGAAAAAAAATTATTTTACTATTATTTATAACGTTTTACAATGTATCTCGTAATGATCCTTATACTAAATCATAATTCTTACATCGCTCATTTTGAATACGTATGTTTCATTAACGCGAATTTGCTCGAATGAGATTGATGAATCGGTAAAAGCTGTTTGTGAAATGCAAACTTTTGCATATGCGAGTTTGCTCTTATGCAATTTCATTTCTGGAGCTTTAAACTTTCAAAGGACTAATTTAATCCCTGTGGAGGTACCGGGGTTATTTTTTCTATAGGCCAGCGTCTTACATGAATGCAACTATCGCATAATAGCAGAGATGACTGTACACATGAATCACATGAAAAAATCGCAGTCAATTGCGGGGACCAACGAATTGCCGATTGTAAGTGTATAAAATATATTTCTTAAATTCCCTTTATTTTATTTACGTTATTTCAGAGCTTTAAATGTAATGCCATTATATTACTCGTCAATGTTTGGGTACTGGGAACTCATGTCATTGACTTCCCATTGATTTACATCGTAAAAGAGTTTCAATTTACGCCGGTTCGTCCAGGAACGCATTCCCGGCGTAAATCAAGGGCTACCTGTATTTGAACGTCATGTATTTTATAAATGCATGAGACAAACACAGCTGACTGCCTGTACCACTTCACTAAAAAATTAACTGTGGATAAAATGCTTAGTGTTATCCTTCATTAAGTGTCTCTAATAGACTTTTCCCCTTTATGGATGTTGAATTTATGGACTTTTATCTCAACAGGATTATGTTTTCTTTGGTACTTAAATTATAAGCAAATGGTATCATGCCCTTTTGTATGTTCATGTGTATGTGTGTCCATACATGTACCTTTCCGCTTCTAATGATTTTAGAACTAAGATGAAGATATCTGTATTTTGGGACGTTGCACCATATAGGCCAGTGTAAATTTAATGACCTCTCAGTGGTGCATACTGCCTTCGTCATCCTTGTCACCATGATGAGGGAGGCAGTAAGTGCCTCTGAAACATTGATCAACTTATACCAGACTACATGGCACAACATTCCAGAAGACAGTCTTCTTCTTACCTGCTGCTGTGAGAATCTTAAATTTCACTGTAGAACCAGCTGAGAGATTTTCATATGATGCAAGCGTGTCATGGAGTCCATTTCCTTAGTATTTTCTAGTTTCCTATAAATAGTGCTATTGGTGTGGCAGCTGTATAAATGTCTGAGCAACACTAGTGCCATTTAATGTGGAGAGCCTGTGTTTTCACAATTCTTTACAAATCAAGTAACTTTTGTTTCAGTAATTTGTTTTGCAGACCATAAAATAATTTTAAAATTGATATTGAGGTATACATCAAACATATCTACAATTTCTGTATCTTCCCACATCCTTTTGTGTGCTAAAAATTACAAATTTGATTGGTGTGAAATGTTGAGGTTAGGACCTACCACCTGAAGGTAGTGTAAATTACACACAAAAAAGATGGTTCTGATGAATACAATTTTCTTCTTTCTTTCTTTCATTAAGCTGAAAATGTCCGTCCATACCCCATTTCAGATTTGAACATAATGTTATAGGTTCTGTTTGCCTGATTTTTGTGAAACTTGTCATGGATAGCATGATGTTGGAGAATGTTTCATCTTGGTACTTTTTAACTCTGCTAATCATTATCATACAAGAAAAGATTTAAAATCCCCATGTTATGGGACTAACAGCTGGATTTGAGCTCTGGGGTTAATGGTTTAGCCTATACCAGAGTGATGCACAGTCAACTGGACTACACATAAGATGTGACTCATGGTTGATAAATGTTAAAGGTACTAACATAGCTGACATACAAATTTATGAGGGGGAAGAACACTAGCATTATTCAAAACAGGTTCTTACAGTTTTGTCTTATGAAGTTTTAGAAGTTGTAGAAGGAAACTGTGTTGAGAAAATTTGAGAAAACTTCAGTTATTTAAGAAATCAGGTTACTGTTTGGTTGAACACATGGTTATAGATAGAAATAACTTTTAATGTTTGAGTATTTTATTTATTTTGTGTATTTAATATTTTAAGCTTTAATAACAATATACTGTTCCTTATGTGTTCCATGTTACGTATTGAAAGAGAAGAAAAACAAGTTACTCTTATGGATTGTCCTTTGGTATTCCATGGGTATTTATGTAATAGTGATTTTATTATACACCTTTGCTTTCCTTTAGGCTTTGTGACTTATCGGTAATTTACTTCTTAATTGAATTTTGAATGCTGAAGAAATTTCCATGCATGATACAGAATTGTTTTTGTTATAAATTTCCATTTTCTTGGAAAGCATATTTTCTTCCCATCTTTCTTTTTTAAGTTCTTCCCTTTCTTTGGTTTTTTCCTTGCATGCATTACTAACAATTACAATAACAAATAATGAGAATAGCTTCAAGAAATCTGTGTTAAGTTATCGTTCTTCAGAGTGATTTTGATGCTCGATAATTTATGCTGTTTTCTCCGTGGTGATAGAAACATTGAAAGAGACATTAGCAACATAAGTTATTCCAGAATCTTTTTGTTTATAACAAGTTTAATGGGAATTCTTAAATATTGTTTAGATGAGCTTCAACTTCAAGAGGTTAAAGGAAATGGAAGGGGAACAGGTGATATATGGAGGAGAGTAAGCAGTTAGAAAGTCATGATTGTTAAGCAACTTAATTACACCCTTCAGCTGCAGAGGTAATATACATCTGTATGTGATGGGTTGATAATCATGAATTATGAGTAGGTGAGGATTTGAAAGGAAGTTGTCATGACCTGTTAAGAGTCCTATGAATGAAGCTCCCTATATTTTATAACATCCATATTAAAATGTTGCCAGTCACAGTGACCGTGTGGTCTGAGGCGTGGGCATCGTGTGCTTGGACACTGGGACTGGGTTTTAATCCCATTTTAGACATGGTTGTTTGTCCTCGTCTTTCTGTGTTGTGCTGTCCTGTCCTGTGTACAGGTAGAGGCCATGCAATGGGCTGATCACTCATACAAGGAGTCCTACCAAATGTGTAAATAGATCAAGAAACCTCCAAAAAGGAGACCCCTATGCTCCACACTGAAGCAAAAAGGGTATAAAGAAAGGAGATCTTAAAATGTTATTTGGAATTGAATGTGGCCATACTGTTTTTGTCATGTTTACTTTTTCCTGAAAACTTACAGTTGAGAGCTTTGTTCTAATCATGTCTGTAGGGACATTGAGCCATGTTTTGGTATGAAAAATTTTAATTGACATATATAAATGCAATTTCTACAAATAAATTGTTATAAAGATTGCTCAGAAATGTGTGCTACCTCAATAGGTTAGAAATACATGCCATATCTGAAGACTTGTCATGCTACTGCACTTTAAGCCACTGTGTTTCTTTGTATATTTTTGTAATTTTGTTTTATATTTCATAGTCATTATGAGGGTACCTGATAAATTAAAAAAATATAAATCATAAAATGAGTGAGATATGACTGAGAACTTCCTTTGTCATCAGTGCTGTTAAAATCCCAGATGGAGTAAAATACATTTTGCTGTCCATTTCTTCTTGGAAATGTCTTTGAACAAACAAAGTGGTGTGAAGTCCTTGGATAACCTTTCTAGAACAAGGACTTCCATTTAACAAATTCCTTGGTTCCATTATAATACTCTGATATGGACAGTATCCTGTGTGCTAAGTACTTTCATATAAAAGATTTCTAAACATTTTTGTCTCCTACATGGAGGTTTGCTTTAGCTTCTGAGCAGTTAATACTGTGTATGCAGTTGTCTGTTATCATGTAATATAATTTATTTTAATTTTAATTTATGTAGAACTTATCTTCACATGATCATCATTAGTATTCTGTTTGAATTGTACATAAAAAACCTAAAGTTTTACAACGTTACAGAAGTATGAAAATTGATACTCCAGCTGTACGAGAAGCTACAAAGGAGTGATCATTTTTAGCCACATATGACAGATAGACCAAATTTATTTTATTTATGTCTTCTAGCCCTTATTTTGTATTACTCTGTTTTAAACTGATAGTTTCTTTCACTCCTGAGCTAGCACTGTATTTTAGGTTGTGATTTTCACTTATCCATTTTTTATACATAATATTTTAAATTGAATTTTTAGGGGGTTTTGTTTGTGTATACAGTTGTAATCATGATAATTAATTGTGTAGTAGTATAATAATTATACCACAAACCCCAGAATAATGTGGCCTCAACTAAAAAAAAAAAAACAACTAAAATTTTGCAAGGGAACTGTTTGAAGTTGTTTTATGTGTATATAAAGGGCTAGAATCTTTGGACATAACTGATATGTAGTGGAAAGTGGGTAAACTGTAGGTGCGGTCTTATTCCTCTATGTTAAAAGCACTGCAGGTTTATAATTATGCCATAAAACATTTTTACTTTTTTTAAGTTGTGGCTCTGTTATTCTTGGTGTGATATTCTGAGCATATGTTTTACAATTTTGGGTTGTTTCTTATTTGGTTTGAGATTGTTGAATGTTACAGTATTGTGGATGGCAGTTTATAAATATGAATTTTAGCATTAAATTATTTTTACTGATAAGGAATAATAACATTGTGTCAGAGGAAGTTATGTATAGCTGTGGGATTTTCAGTGCTACAATTCTGAGACTGTCTGCTGTGGTCGAGGAGAATACTGTTGTCATGATATAGGATAACTGAATAACATGAGTATTCCAGGGATTGATATTCCATTTGTAATGGTCCATTGTTGTCAATAATGACTATTCTAACTAACATATATGTGGCAACACATGGAATAGCTTACCAGATTGTAATATTTAATGGATTTTGTACTAATCATTCCTGGGCATCCTGGGTTCAGAAAAATGCCTCTCAAATAGGAGCCAAAACAGGTCAGCATGGACTAAAGACATGCTGGAAAGTTGTGTGAAGCACATATTCAGTTTGCATATATAGGAGGAATAATCATGGCACAGTATCAGTGTCATAGAGAGGTATGGAAAAATTATATTTTTTAAAACCTGTACATGTAAACTGTAGGAGAAAAACATATCCCTGATTTTATTTCACACTGCATGTATTGTGCAAAACTAACTTATAATTTATTGTGGGTATAGTACAGATTTGATTATCCAACTAAAACAGGAATGAGGGATGATCAGATAATCAGAAATGTCAGATAATATGGAAGATTAATGAAAAAGACAAGGGTAAATATCACCCTAATTTATGACATTGTTAAATTTCGAAGAAAATAGAATTTGGCCAAAAAATCTCATACAAAAATAGTACTTAATATAATGTAAAGTTATAAATGAAATAGTTGATTTTAAGAAATTGATAGGTATTTGCTTCTGAGCCTCTTTCCTTTCCTTTCCTTTGTGTCAAGGTCACACCAGCATCTGAACGGTAGTACGTCTGAAGCAACTGAGTATATAAAATATAGAAGGTACATGGTGGGGGATATGTTCATTATTTGGCAGTTACATTGCTAAAACTGGGAAATATGGGAACCATTGCAGAGATTGCTGTGTGTAGTGGAATCTCTTCATTGTAGATAAGACCAGTGAGTGATTCTTATAGTATAGCTCTTTGCCTTTCATTGTTAGGAGCAGTTATATAATTGTCTTCTGGGTTGATGCTACATCATGACTCAGGAGGCCACAATCTAAACTTTTACCATCATGAAATCCTCATCCTGCAAAGGTGGAATGGAAATAATATTTTCAGAAACATGTGATATGTCTTGAATGTTAAAAAATATAATGAGCTTTTCATGCTTAATTTTGCTATACTACCACAGTTCTATATAACCTCTGACTAAAATGGTGTGTTTTAGTTTAACTGTCTATTATCTGCTTATTTAGTTATGGCACTTGTAAATTTTTCTGAATATTTGTAATGTTGTGATACTAATACTTTTATTGCAGTGCATTTAAGAAAAATACTGTACAAACATGAAAGTAAATAATTTGCAGAGACAGGTAATATTTTATGGAAAATACATTTTTGTTTTCATATTCAAGGAGGACATAATTCTGATGGAATTGCTGCCTAATTTTATGTTTCAGAATGTATTACTTTGTAAAAGTTATGGGTGTAGAGGGTACATAACTTTATAGTAATTTTATTAACATTTGTATTACATAAATAAAAGAGAAATTTTTCAGATAATGTTGTGTGAGTGAGAGAGAGAGAGTACATTTAGAAAATTGTCATCATCAAGTTGAAACTCAGTACAGAATGAAGTCAATGCCAGGAGAACCCTAGATGAAATAACAAAAAATATACAAATAATGCAGAATTCTATCCTTCCTCCCTCCTACGTATGCATGTAGTGTACGTATAGCATATCAATAACTAGTTAAAGAATGGTTGTGTAATGTTCTAGGGATAAGTTGCTGGTTTCTTATGCCACAGAATTAAGATTTGAAGCCTAGCCTAAATGATTGTGTAATATTTTGCTTGTCAACATAAAACCACTACTTCCAACAAAGTGGGTGTGGGTACATGAGGACCCACACTGATTTAGAAATTATTTTAAACTGGGTCCACTTTGCCAGCCATCATCAACAACGTTGGTGTGGGTACATGATGACCCACACTGTGGTTTGGAAATTATTTTAAACTGGGTCCACTTTGCCAACCATCATATTTCAGTATCCTTTGGCCATTTTTATGGAATTCATACATGCAATTATAAAACCATTGCCAACATAAGTCACTTTTATAATACTTGTTCCACATACTACATTGTATGTATACTGCCTACTTCATAGTTAAACATTGTACATAACGTAGTTTAAATGACTCATATTTTTTGTTATGTAAGTTGTCTGATAAAATTCTTATATTCACTTTTATACCAGTTCGTTTTATTCCTAACAGTTCTCAGGTTTACAATAGCATTCTTCTCAAATTTATTTATAGCATTGGCCTTGGTGTTACCTTATTTTAGATAAAGTCATAAATTATTTTTTGTTGCCTTTTATTACACATTTACAGTGTTAAAATTGCAAGCTGTGACATTTTATATAATGGGCCAAATTAATTACAGGAGCAATCTTTGAGGACTTGAATTATGTGCTTTTAGTTCGTATCTTCGATGGGAAGATGTCACTATAGTGATATTCAACAGCAGATTTCTGAACTCATCTGAAGAAATTGTGTTGAGATGTTGGTATTCTGTACGGTTACCGTAAATGATTTGAAGTGGTTGGTAATTATTAATGTGTTTTAACACGATCCTAATCGTTGCCAACACGTATGCTGGTGGTAGTTATGCTTGTAAGTCATAAGCTGCTGGTGTAGTATCGGCTTTGTAAATAATGGAGTTTCTTTACAGAATACCATTCAGTGTGTTGGAAGTACCAAATTTAAAAATAAAGAGACCATCATGGTTTCATCAACCGTCTGCTATGGTTATGTTTTCTCTCGTGTTGCTTTCATATTTCTTGGTAACTGGAGGTTAGTATTTCGTCCAAACATTAAATACTGTATTTGTTTCATACTTATATTGACGGCATTATGGCGGTTTTAATTTATTGTAAACGTTTGATGTATGCATAGCATTTAGTGATATTTTTACTGATCAAAGTACAGTACAGAAAGCGAGCTTGTAGGTTTTAACTCTTAATGCATATCATTAGAATGTGATTACCAGTAGAGAACAGTAAATTAGAACTGTTTGTGTTTGGACTAATGCAAAAATTCAATAACAGGTTAAGAGAATTAGGGAAGAGTGGTTTGCAAATTATAAGTAGCTAATATAACTCAGATTTAGTGGCACACATACGTTTTCACCATATTGTAAAGTTGTTCCCTGGCATTTTAAGGCGGGTTTACATCTGACACCAAAATGTTAGGATGCAAATGACACCAAATTAATAACTCACCATAATGCAAAACATGTTATTGCTGGCAACACCAAAGTTTGTAGAAATGCAGGTTTGTTGCTGTAGAAGAAGACTTCAACATGTTTTTAGACCTTATACATTTTATAGGCCTGACTTATGTCTTGTATCAGACTTAATTTATCATATATGTATAAAACTCATTTATTATTTTCAGGAATTATCTATGATGTAATTGTGGAGCCACCGAGTGTTGGTTCAACCACAGATGAGCATGGCCATTCAAGACCAGTAAGTACTTGCTTATCATTTGGAATAGTAAATGAAATACCTTATTTACTATTGTGTTAGTAATATGATGTTTGTAATTCTAGGTGGCATTTATGCCATATCGAGTGAATGGGCAGTATATTATGGAAGGTTTGGCATCAAGCTTCTTGTTCACGATGGGTGGGCTTGGCTTCGTAGTCTTAGACCATACCCACAGTCCATCAACACCAAAGCTTAATCGTATATTACTCATATCTGTGGGATTTTTGTGCATCCTTGTCTCATTCTTCACCTGTTGGATATTTATGCGGATGAAGTTGCCGTAAGTAATAACAAGTTTAATCAGTTTTAGTACTTAGTAAGCTCTAGCCCTGAAAGTGTTTGTTGTATGTTAAAGTCTTGATTAGGATACTGACTCCTGTTCCCAGATTTAAACTTTACCCTTTCCATTACTCAGATAATGCTTGAAAAATACTGATATTATCAATTTTAAATGTGTTATGTGTGTTATCCATATTGTTCACTGTTTTATAATATCCGATGTAGATCTGATCTTAATGTTTATTGTATATTACTTGGATGTACATTTATCTCATCCAGCTGTGTAGAAATTTTATCATGTAAAATGGAAAGTGGACAAGGCTTTAGAATAAAATAGAATAGAATCTATTTACGTTCTGTAGATCCTTAATAGGCCCAAGCAAGGGTGTAGAACATGTCATATCACAAATACAATACATGTTTATAATACAAATATAAATTACATAGTTATGACAGTAATGTACAGTCAACTACAGTAATTATACAAGAAAGTATACCCACTATTGCTTATATGTTTTTATAGTAGCTCAGAATTTTTGGCTGAGGTAAATTCTTCTTTGGAGTAGGAGGAGTGAGGTAAGAAATACTGCTGGCTTAAAATTCTTTATATCATGATTAAGACTTCTTATAGTAGGGGTGAGTTTATTGAATAGCTTAATTCCAATATAGTAAACTTCTTTTTGATATTTACTGAATTTAGTATTTGGCAGATGAAGGTTATATCTCTATCTTGTACTTCTGTTATCCTCTTTAAATGATAATAATTAGAGCAAGAATTTACTGGCTAGTGGAAGAATAATAAATTTCTTAAATAATTCCCTATATGAGGTGCTCCTTTTAGTGCCTGCCGTTATTCTAATGATATAATTTTTTGTTGTCTGTTGAATTTACACAGAAAATGATTCCATATGACATGATCAGATGGAAGTAAGCAAAGTAATTTTAAAGATTCTGTTTTCATGAGTGATGTAACAGTCCTCATAGCAAAGAATGCTGAGTTTAGTTTAGGGATAATGTATTGATTATGTGTTTCCAATTTAAGTTATTGTCAATTTATACCCTATACCTAGATTAACACATTTTTTGTTGGTAGTAAAAAATTTCATGAAATTTGATTTGTCAAAATTTAATGTGAACTTTAATCCATTTGTTCAAGCTAGCAAAGACAGCGGTAGGCTTTGATATATTACTGGTGTTGAACATTTGTGTTCTGCTACCAGTGTAGTTTTTAGAATGTCTTGTGTACTGCGCTCAGAAATATTTATAACACACCCCAGAAGTATGTGTATTTTTTAGTATCAGTGCATAAGGCATATTCCTCAAAAAAGTAATCCTTATACTTTATTAAACCTTATCATACTGGAATAGGGAATTTAGGCCTCTGTACAAAGTAACTTGTTGGCCATACTTAAATTACAGAGTTAAATTGTTGTTCTCTGCAGAGATTGAAGTTTTCACCTCTGCCAAAGGTAGATTTGGGGTATGTGGAGAAAAACCAGGCCTATGCTAAGCTATCTCAAATCCACTTTATTGGTCATTTTGAGTAGTAGCATCTATCTCATGGTGCTATCTTGTCTCTCAGAAGAAGAAATCTAGGTGGGCTATTGTTACTTGAATACAAGTTCTGTTGTTATGTTTTAGTGAGAAAGTTTTCTGTATAATGGTATAGAAAAGGCTTGGGATAGACACACACATAACAATTTGTTGTTGATTTTCAGGGATCATATCTTTTACAAAAATGTTAGCACTTGAAATAACACATGTATTGATTCAGTGATGCTTCATTCTACTATTTAATATTACACCACAGATAACTGTATCAAATTTTTGAACAGTAACATCCTCCATGATGTTCCTCAGAGGAATATCAGATTTTAGTATTTAACTGAGGAAATTTAATGCAGAAACCAGGAACTGAAAATGAAACAAAATGAAATGTATAGTAATTGGCACAAGTCTGCAAGCTTGACCTTCACTACATGGGATTTCAGACTAAAGAAATACTGCCTTATCGGGCCAGGTGCATTATGTTTTACAGTTGGCGTCGAGGTTGATATTTGTAGGCCACATAGTAACCAATTTATCACTCTATCCCATCACTGACATATCAAATGCTAAGCTTGCAGATTCATGCCAGTACCTGTAGGTGACATAAAACAATTTTGGCTGTTATACAAGAGCATTCACTTTCAAATGTGTAGTTATGTTACATTGTCTGTATATTTAAATTTGTTTCTAATTGCAGTGGGTATCTCCAGTCATAAGGAACAAGCAGAGCATTTATGTGAATGAATGAATCATATCTATAGGAGTGTGGTTGACTTTTCCATTTTCTACAGCATATTGTCAGCATTGCATGAATGACTTGTGAAAAGGGTAAACTAGGAATTTTCAAATAAATGAAAAAGATGGAGCAGTAGTTTTATTGATACATTTATATAAACACACAGTTGACATATGGTTTAAAACAAACAACAGACAGTGATCTCTTATGCTTATTAGGTTACTAGATGCCTGCGACAGTTCCTTAACCAGTTCCCCAATTATCCTGAAATATCTGAGGTTCATCATTTTTGCAATAAAATATTAACCAAAGTTACTTGAGGACAGTATTTCTTCTGTCCCATTATTAATAAAAGTTAATTCAGGTTGTACATATATGTATCAACTCTAGACATCAGTAAATGATGCACTGCTGCACTTTCATAAGCAATGTGCATTTATATACTTTTATGCTAGATTGCATGTAAATAGGACTTTTATGCTTCTGTCATAAGTTCCTGTGCTAGCTGCAGTGATTTGTGTCTTGTGATGAAGTCAATTTTTAATAACGATGGAAAGTAACAGAAGATAACTCAGGATAATAATCATTAGTTATATAAACTACATTTTGTACACTATGATTATTTACCATCAAAACACATCAATAATTCCATTTTTGTCAGTATATTCCAAACATGAAATAGGGGGAAAAAATCAGGGAAGGGGTTAATCACCCCCATATGATACATGCAGGCCTGTGGCTTCTTAAGCTGGTCACCCACCAAAAATGTTTAGACATGAGATATTAAATTCATGGTACATACCACACTTCCATGAGCTTTATTTATAAGATACAACTGTGATCTGAATTAAAGGAAGTACAAATGCTAAATCATTCATTTCAAGTCATATCTTGTGATACAGGCTTCCACAGGTGTGCACGGTTTATCTCCAATGATAAATGTAACACAAATGTGGCTATCACATTGATAAGCAAGCAATACAGGAAATAGATATATATGTGTGAAAGGATGTTTATTGCATATTTAATATATTATATGCCATGTACATTATCAGCATAATTTTGTGACCCACCATAGTCTACTTCAGATCAGTCTCTCTTCTTCCTTTGAGCTCATCATTTTCTTTCACATATCACATGTATGTGATGACTAGTCACATTGTTCTCTCACACATATTGACAGACTGGTAACTGATAAGTATTTTCTACATACTCACAGTCAGTATCATTTTGAGAATGCAGATGGACAATATGATACATACGTATTACGATTACTAAGAAAAATAAAGTGTGCAGTACCCACATATTAAAATTGTCAGCAGATGTCTATCTAATGAGAGAATGGGCCAAGAAAATTAGTTAATGTTCAGTAAAAATATTTATGAAATCAAGAACTGTAATGAGAGAGCAACATAATTCCCATTTCAGGGTAACTGTGAATTATCTTTGGTATACTACTGGTTTAAACTATACTAAATATATAAAAAGGTACATATCACAAAATGATTGCTACATTTATGCTGTGCTTTAAGGATTAAAACTTATTACACTAGGCATCTAATATAATAATAACTAAAGTATTTTACAGTCTTCTGTTCGATTACTCCAATATCAAATGGACATTTCCTTTGAGCAATAAACACATTAGGTCATACTGTTTTTATGGAGGTTTATTACAGACGGATTCTGAAAGCACTGAAATAAAAACAAAACATCATTAGAATCAACTATATTAGAGTTAAAACAGTACTCTTTCAATATCATGGTGCAGCAAGCCAAGAATGATGGTTTAATATTGATTATTATATGCTATCTATGTAGTAGGAAAATAAAGGGTTGCTAATACATGCTGATGCATAACTGGAAATCAATGTAAAGGCATTCTGACAAACCAAAGTCTTACTATACTCTGCATCACCAAAATACAAGTTTCAAGGCCACATAAGGACTTCACCCCCTTCACTGTGCTGCTCTAAGTCAACAGTATAGCACTGCCAGTTTTTTCTACACTGCATGTATTGATGTATCATCAGCATGAAGCAAGTGGTCTTGGTGCATATTTACCACACATACACAACACACAAATATATATTGCATTTACTATCTTCTTACAAACTAAAAGATTGACTGAGATGTGGTTTTTAAAGACATGAAGTATGAACCTTTAGCTACATTTCATAAGCAGAATGTAGGTGGCAGGATGCATAGAACATAAATTCATAACAGGAAAACATTTATAATTTATCAAAAGAATAGAATGCCATGCCAAATGAATTATAAAGGTATTGTTATATTAAGAAGTAAGTGAGGAATGCAGTAATCAAAAAATGTCAAAGATTCTATTACAAATGAAAATGTTACAGCAGGTTGAAGTGAGACATCCTGCAAAATGTTCAACTTGCCTCAGCTACGATGTCCATGTTGCAACATTGTATGATTTTTGTGTGTTCTTGAACTTGTATTTTGATGGTGCGAGATGTGTGTACCACAACTGCGTACAAACACCAATGAGATGTTTAATTTTAACACATTCCAATTAATGTACAGTCATTACTAAATTTATCTGCCATACCAAAGTTTGGTTCAAAATGGGCCTATATATCTTGTATAAACCACATTTTTATGCATTAAAATTTATGAACAAAATATGGATGAGGACACAATTACTTTTTGAGTAATTTCTGACAACTCTGAGGCAGTGGAAATTATACACATTGTTAAATCAGGAAGTTCTGTATGTTCTGGCCTCTTTGTACCAGAATTTGGTGATAACAGAGTTGCACAGCATTCAAACCAGAAACCAGCTTTCCTGTTTTATATCATGTCACATCTTAATCATTCAACAAAAGTGCTAATTTGCAAGTAATGTACTGAACTGCTATATTTAATCTCTATCTTGTTATAATGCAGTACCTCTCCTTTTTATGTAATATAGTTGACTTTTTAAACTTTATAAAATAATATGTCCCGTTTTGCCTATAGTACTATAAATACCATGGTATGATAGGCACTTACTTAGCAAAATCTGAGGATTTAGAAATAATATGTTCAAATTCTGCAAAAGAGAGTGCTCCATCATCATCTAAATCTGCTTCATCTAATATATTCTGTATAAGATGCTGCATGTCCTGTTCACTTAGACGCTGCTGACCAGTCAGACGGTTTACCACTTGTCTGAGATCTGTTACCCCCAGCATATCATCTCCATCAAAATCTGGAAATCAGAATTGCTTATTACATACAAAGAATGACTGTTGCACTGAATGAGTGGGTTTAAATGCATTCTGATGCCTTCCACACACAAATTTGAACATATTATGTGACTGACACAAGAAGTGAACACGTTTTAGATGTACAGTTTCATAAAATTTCTAAAAAAGTCTAAAATAACTTTAGAACACTTTCAGCATAATCATATATTACATAAAAACTGTCGAAGGTAACATAATACCCATGGTGTCATGACCCAGTTATAGGAAGGCAGTACTGTATAACTATTTTCAGCTTGTTTGTCACTCTTACTTGAATGGGCACTGAAAAATCTATTTGGAAATTAATATAAATGTAGCATAAGACTCAGGTCTACACTAAAGAATAAGAAGTTTAAAATATAATCAAAATGACAACAGTCAAAGAGACTAACTAACACACACCAAAGATTCGAAAAGCATGTTCTGCTTTCACAGCTTTTGGTGCTCCCTCACTGAACACTGACATCATATCTAGGAAGTCTTCGAAAGTACAATCTCCATCATGGCTTGAACTAAATATATGGCAGATTCTGTCTCCAAATGGATTCACATGTAGTTCAGGATACTGGAGTATCTTTGCCATAGGCAGTTTGGCATTTTTGTTGTGCCCCACTTTCTCTGGTGCAAGAGCTTTGAATTTATGATGTGCACTGGAAGTAAAAATAAAAATGTTGATAATATACATTCAATTTGTACATACATGTTAATCATACCATGTGTACTGATTGTGAATCTGGAAGGTTAGTGAACTATTTTTGAATATAATTACTTACTACAGAACTTCTTTCTTGGTGAAATATGTCAAGTCCTGTAAGAAATTTAGACAATTAAGTGTCAGTGTTACCAGTTATATTTTCAGGAGGTTACATTACAAGTATTACCGTATTAATCACGAGTACAAATACAGTATGTTAATATGTTTTTACTTGATAGTCCTGTAACTCTTCTTCTGTAAACTGGCTCCTTCCTTGCCCCATGTTGTTTTTATATATTGTTAATAATTTCTTCGAAGCATTATTAGGTATTATCCAAAATGACACCAAACAAATTTCCTAACCACAATATTCTCGTAAGGACCACAATTAAATCGATAAAGAACAATCACAATGGCAGTATGTACAATAATCGAGGTATTATCGAACACGTTAAAGAGCTAATGTGCATTACAAAATGATGATGTCCATTCACTCAACCTGACCGTTAACAAAACATCACAATTCTGACGTTAAATATCCAGATCTAGGTTACTGGATTAGCCTATGTCTTACGATGGCATGGCCGAACCAGCGGGTTCGGAAGTGTTATTATTACTGGTTTCGTAAATCAAACAATAGAGGGCTCTATGATTGTCAATCTGTATTGCATTTATAGCTACATATAGTATCTTAGAGTCGACGAAAATTGGGTGACGAGATTTTGGACACAAAATTTGATGATGCGCTGTGGGAACTTAAAACCCTTCTATGTGAGAAAAGTTGTGGTTTTCTGGGTTGTTGCGCCGTGCAATCGAAACGTCACAAGAAACCAGAAGATATTTTGTTTTTATGTTAGATAGTGATAATTAAATATGGGAAGAATAAATCGTAGCCTGTTAACCTTCATTTGTTGAGGAAACCCAAAATCCCGTTTCCTGCTTCGATTCTGAACACAAATCCCTTGAACCGAGAATCGTACAATTATTTACGCTGCTTGTGTCAGCTTGTTGATTTGGTGAGTATTTAAATAGTGAAATTAAATACAACATTTTATTAGATCTTTCAAATTAAGTACAAAATTATCTTAATGAGGTGCTCCAGACAATCCTAGCACAGTCGCGATGTGAAGAGTACTATTGATGCTTGAACACAGAAGGATGGAGACGACTGCCCATGAATCCATTTTATGTCATTGTTGTCTCTCCGCTCTCTTTGGATAAATTCCAGGTAACAAAGAGCAACAATATAAAAGTTTGTTACGTGGCTTCATGCGACAAAATACGTGGTTTAGAGAGTCAAGTGTAATATTGTTATTGGAGTTAGAACATAGCCAGTGAAACACGATATACATCCAGAATTTGAATGCGGAAATTTCTTGGAGATGGTACACTAACATTAATACCGATCTGGCCGGAGGGTGGGAATGGGTTACGAATTAACAAAACGACGAAATTAAGTGATGGATATGCGAGCCAGGTAACAGTTGATGACCAATGTTGTGAAGCAAGGAAAATGTATAGCGATAAGGACGACGACGTAAACAATTATGAAAATTAGAGTGGATTATCACCGATTCCAAACGGCAGCTATACGGAGAAAAGAGTGACGCATTTGCGACCACATGTTCATAGGAACATTTTTTTCTTATATTTGATCCAGGAACAAGCACACGAAGTTTGTAAACATACTTCTGACTCACTCTGTAGACAGTGATAGTGACAATCCGGAAAGTGTGTCTGATTGTACTGAAAGTGAAGATGAAAGTGCTGCAGAAACAAAAGGCTTACCTACTGACAATATGTCCGGCATTGAATTTCCGTGTGCATTGTCTTCTTACTATCTTCTTACTATATATATATAATAAAAATTTGTGATTCCTCGTTGTCATCAAAAAATGACGTCATCAACAATGTCAACTTATATTTGTTTATACTCGGCATTGTTGTGTTCCACAACAATGCCGATTACAACACAACAATGCCGAGTAAACAAATAACGCTTCACTACCAAGCCAGTCGCATTATCACTGCTCCAGAAGCAGCACGTTGCATTATTAAAAATTGACTGACAGTTGGCCTAAAACATCAGAAAAGTGAAAAAAGAAGTTATCAACTATTTGAAGTACCAAATCCAACAACTCCAACAAGGTAAAGTTTGTAAAACGCAACCAACCTTGTGTAAGAAACTAAACTAACCCCCGAGAATTGAGAGTTAAAACAATTGACCAACTCCCCATTCTGGGGGGTTGGTTGCGTTTTGAAATCTTGAGTAACACGCTAAACTAACTCCCCTTCGGGGGATTAATTTAGTGTCTCATTCAAGTGTTTTAACCCTTGAGTAAGAAACTAAGCTAC